ATACCAATATGTTTGCTTATGTACATACGTACATACCTACCGACGCATAACAGAGAATTGAACTAACTTAGATAAAGGGTGTGTCGTTCCGCAACATACCGCCCCCGCTGAACCATTGGTTCAGGTAAGTGGTAAGACCGCAATTTTTGCAATTGGCCGAATATATTGACCACGAGACGTTTGTATGGTTGCCACTCGAACCAGACCATCGCTTCCTCGGTTTGCTGTCACTACACGTCCCATGAGCCATTTTGATGGCGGTAGATTTGGTTCCTTCAGGAGAACTACCGTGTTTGGCTCAATGTTGAGCTGCTGTCGTTGCCACTTATTCCGTGCTTGTAGCGACGTCACATACTCTGCATGCCACCGCTTCCAAAAGCCTTGGACCATTGCTTGGAGGTGTCGCCAATGTTTAAGGCGGTTTACATTTATATCCAAGAGTGAAGGTTCTGGAACCGATGTATATGGCGCCCCAATCAAAAAGTGGGCGGGTGTTAGGGCATTCGACTCGGTGTCTGAGGATGCGCATAAGGGCCGAGAATTTATGATAGCCTCAATTTGGGCGAGAACGGTACAATATTCTTCGAAAGTTAATACGTTGTTCCCAATGACTCGACGAAGATGCATCTTAATAGACCGTATGCCCGACTCCCAGAGTCCTCCAAAGTGGGGCGCGGATGGCGGAATAAAATGCCACTGAACTCCTTCAGCAGCCAGAGCATCAGACACTTCACGAGTGTGCGCTTCAGATACAGCGAATTTTTGAAGTTCGTTTAACACTCGATAAGCTCCATGAAATGTTGTACCATTGTCAGAATATAAGTCGGTTGGCACTCCTCGGCGCGCGACAAAGCGACGAAATGCTGCTAGGAATGCATCTGTCGTAAGATCGCTTACGAGCTCAATGTGTATGGCCTTTGTTGACATGCAAATGAATAGAGCGAACCATGCCTTTCCAGTCTTCGCGTTGCGCGTTCGGGACAGTTTGATTTGGACAGGTCCTGCGTAGTCTAGACCACAATGTTGAAAACAGCGAGCAGGTTGCACTCGTACAGCTGGAAGATCCGCCATCAATTGTTCACTGGTACTGCGGCGTTGCAGGAAGCAGGTTTTGCAAGAAAACACTATCTTTCGAACGATATTACGACAGCCAATAATCCAGTAGTGTTGTCTGACAATAGCAAAAGTTGCGTCAACACCTGGGTGCAAGTACTTAGCATGGATGTACCTGCAAATAAGCTGAGAAACATTAGAAACTTTGGACAATAAAATTGGATGCTTTACTGAGTCTGGCAAGAAAGTATTCTTGATACGCCCTCCTACGCGAAGAACACCGACCTCATCCAAAAATGGAGTGAAACGAAGTAATCTAGACTTCGCCTTCAACGGCTGTCCCCTTTTGAGCTGGCATACTTCTTCCCTGAATGTGTTCACTTGACAGTAGCGAACAATAGCATTTGCGGCCAGTTTGAGGTCGCGGGCGCTCAGAGCGTTTGTAAGAGGATTTGGTTCTGCTTCACTTCGGCGACACCTTCGAATAAAGCGCTGACAGTATGCCACAACACGTAGCAAACGTATCCATGTCGAAGATTTTGTTATAAGTTTATCCAAAGCGGGTTGGTCGTCTTGCGCACAAAGAACTATGTCTGAAGGAGGTTTGCGTTGTTCGATAATGACATGTGAGTCATTCGATGGGGTGGTGTTGCCGAAAGTTGGCCATTGGCTTCGAGGCGAAGATAACCATGACGGCCCATGCCACCAAAGCGAGTGACGAGCTAATTCAGTTGGAAGCACACCACGGGACGCACAGTCAGCGGGATTATCAGCTGATCGCACATGGTGCCAATGCTGGCGAGGGCAAACATCGAGTATGTCTGCAGTACGGTTACACACGAACGGCGTCCATCTACGAGGGGGCGATGAAAGCCAGTGCAGCACGATTTCAGAATCGCTCCAACAATACATATTCGCAATTTTCAAGGTGAGAGAGGTAGTAATAGATGTTACCAATTTGGTTAGCAAATGAGCGGCGCTTAATTCCAAGCGCGGAATTGACAGGGGCTTTAACGGGGCAACCCTGGTTTTTGCGGCAATTAAATTTACAACGAAGGAATCGTCACTTAGCTTGGATCTACTATAAACTGCAGCTGCGTATGCCGACGATGAGGCATCTGCAAAGCCGTGGATTTCGATTGAGACGCCGGCTGGAGCTATTTGACGTGGAATCCTGACATTGGAGAGATAATGCAACTCGGATAGTATTTTCTTCCAGTGATCACTCAAAGTGGGTGGCAGCTTAGTATCCCAGTCGACACCTTGACACCAAGTTTCTTGTAAAAGTATTTTAAAGAGCACGACACTCGGTGACACCAGACCAAGAGGATCAAAGATTTTGGCTGTTGTCGATAACACACTGCGCTTCGTTGGCTCGCTGCATGACTCAGGCAATTTAGTTGCTATCTGGAACTCGTCCGTGTCAGGGCTCCACTGTATTCCAAGCAATTTAACACATAAAATGTTGGGCTCGGAAGCGATGTCGATTGGGCTATGCTCACACAGCTCTCTTGGTAAGGTTTCCAACAACGGTTTGCAATTCGAACACCATTTTTGTAACTTAAAATTTGCACGTTTTAGTAGCTCGATAAGTTCAGTTTTAAGCTGGAGTAGCTCGTCGACGTTATCACATCCGGTAGCTATGTCATCGACATACGTATCATTCAATATTACACGCGCTGCAAATGGGTAGGTTACCTTATGGTCTTCTGCCAGTTGCTTGAGAACACGTACAGCAAGAAAAGGCGACGCAGCAAGGCCGTAGGTTACCGTGAGTAGTCGGTAATGCTCCACTGGTGAACCCGCATCCTCCCGCCAAACGATTCGTTGGAATTTAGTATCAGAATCTGATACCATAATGCCGCGAAACATTTTCTCTATGTCAGCTGAGAATGCGTGGGCCAATATGCAAACGCTCGTTAAGTGAGTAGCCACCAGAATCTTTGCAGGATCCATCAAATACGACTCGGCATTTCGTGGTTGAGCTGTCTGGTTTGAGAACTGCGTGATGAGCCAGATAAAAACACTCCGATGGATGGCAGTCAACTTCCTGCGGCGTAATACGGGCCATATGGCCAAGCGACAAATACTCACGCATAAAATTTATGTATTGACTCTTCAGAAATGAGTCACGTTTGAAACGGCGTTCCATATATTGTAATCTGGTGACAGCTTGCGAAAGAGTTGATGAAATTGCCGGTGCCTTTTCCTTGAAGGGATATTTGACTACGTAGGTACCGTCAGTACGCCCGTGTGAGTACGAACAAAATGGGCCTCTGCTGGATCTGCCATCTTGATCTTTTCTGGTGTAGGTTTGACATCCTCGACTTCCATAAATGACCGAAACAGCGCATCAATGTTAACGGTAGCATGATGAGTTGCAGCAGTTAAGTTAGCTTCGCTTTCGGTAAAATGCGTTCCAGCTACCACCCAACCAAACACGCTATTCAGCAAAATCGGCATGTTAGGCCCGAACTGTTTTTGCTCGCCAGTGTAAATGCTCCACAACTGATCGGAGCCAATCAATACATCAATTGGTGCTGATTCAGCGAATGTAGGGTCAGCGAGTGGTAGTTTCACAATTGATCGCCACGATGATGAAGAAATATTCACGGTCTGAACAGGAATTTGCGATGTTAACTTGCTGAGAATATAAGCGTGTATATCTAGTGTCGAGTCGTTCAATTTGGAGCTTAAAGTGAAGTACACCCGACCTCGCGTTACTCCGGCATTGCAGGCTGATAGACCAGAAACTGATATACGACCGTTTGTACGTGATAGACCGACACGTTGTACAAAGGCTTCTGACACAAATGATATTGTTGATCCAGAGTCCAGCAATATTCGACAGCTTACCCGATTTCCCCATTTGTCATCGACTGCGGCCACCACCGTTGGGAGAAACGTGTGAGGCATAGCAGCAGTAACGGAGGTTAAAGTGCTGACCGCTGCTTGCTTTAGTGTTGGCGTGTGCATACGCTGCGTAGTGACAGCAGGTACTTGCCCATTTTGATCCCAATTATTTTGTGCTGATGAAGGAAAAGAAGTAGAAGAGGGCGTGAGGGCAGACCGTTCATCATGCAGAAGTGTATGGTGGCGTGAGCTACATTTTTTACAGCTATGCTTCGATTGACAAGAGCGCACGGAATGCGTAGAGGCAAGGTAATTAAAACATAGCTTTTGTTTTTGTACAGCTGCCCGACGTGACGACGGTGATAACTGTTTGAATTGAGCGCATTGCCAAAGCGTGTGATTGTCCGTGCAAACGACGCATTGTTTGTTCTTCCTGTCATCAACATTTGCCAACAAAGCGACGCGACGTGTGTGGGCTGAGCGGGGAGGTAAACACGCCTCAAATGTGTCACAGCGATGAGAAAGAAACTCGAGAAACTCGCTAAACCCTTTTTCGCTCTGGTTATCGCATTTGTCTGCCCACTTTTTCCGCGTTTCTTCGTCTAATTTATTAAGCAAGAGTTGAGTTAGCCATGGGTCGCGGGATGTGACATTCAACGCGTCCAGACCTCTGATGGCTTGATCTGCTCCATCAACTATTTGGCGAAGTACCGATGTGTTAGTTGAAGAGAGGGTGGGAAGAGCCAAAAACGATTGCACCAGTGACCTAATTATGAGCGGTTTGCGGTCGTACCTTTTGACTAAGCGGTCCCATGCCTGCTCATAATTGTCTTCGGTCACACGGATATGTTTTATGCTGGCTAAGGCATCGCCTTCTAGATATGAAACCAAATATTGAAATTTTTGCGTACGGCTCAACCCTGACTTTGTTCCCACTGCGCTAAGAAACAAGTCGCGAAAAGTAATCCAGTCCTCGTATTTCCCGTTGAACTTAGGTAACTGAATTTTCGTTAGGTGAACGTTTTGCTCACTACGGCTAGCCGCAAATGTTTCCAAAAATGATGCTTGCTGTATTGCTAAACGATCAATTGCGTCATCCTCCCTGAATGTAGATGTTTGACTTGAAGAAACTGGCAAGTTAGCAATTTGAGAATGCAGGAGTGCATGTGTTTGAAAATGTTTCTCCTCCGTTTGCTCAATGTCTTCAATAGGGTCGACGAAGTTATCTTCCGCAGAATATGCGTACAATTCTTGACTCATACTCATAAAGTCCTTATAGGCAGCTTCCAATTTTTCAAGCCTATACATAAGAGATTCCCTGGTAGGGGCTTCGGTCGGTTGCTTGGCAGCCTTGTAAGCGCGATCAATCGCCAATTTCACCCAAGCTCGATTCCGCTGCAACAGCTCCATTACACCGTTTAAAATTGGCTGCACGTTAAGTGTTCAACGTAAGATTATCAAATATAGTTAACCGCAAGAGATTCACGAGCACTAATTCGAGGATCCGGCTCGCTGGACCAGCAATTTGTATGGTCCCGAACAAAACCACACAGGGCGCGAATAACTTACGGCGGCGAAACTAGCAAGGCAATGCCCGAAAGAAAATAAGTAATTACCACGTTACCGTGAATTCAAAGGCGGACGAACCGATCTCTTTATTTGCTTCAGGTGGACTGACAATGCATTAAACTTACTGCTAACTACAAAGCGTACCTTTTTATGCATTCAAATATGTACATACATAAAGTGGACTGTATAAAAGGAGTAACTGTTACTACATACCAATATGTTTGCTTATGTACATACGTACATACCTACCGACGCATAACAGAGAATTGAACTAACTTA